TTTGGCATAACAATATAATGATGATGATGATTATTAATATTGCTACTATGACTATAAGATGATTTCATAGCACTGGTGCCTAGTAGTGTACTGACTATGCTGACAGCTCTCCTGCTGCCTTTTCTTGATTTTAGCATATTTTCTGTTAAAGGAGAACTATGAGATGAGTGCTTTTCACTCACCTCATAGTTCTAGCCGACCTGTGACAATGAGACTGTCACAGGTCGGCTCAGTAGATCGGGAGGTGAGCGAACACATAACGGTGTTCGCTCACCTCTCGATCCTGTCACGGCTCTCTGCCGTGACAGGGGAGGGGCTGGATTCCCCCCGCTCCGATCCGCCAGCGCTGACTGGCGGAACGGACCGGGGAGGGGGCGGGTACAGCTGGCTCTGCCTCTAGATAGGCAGAGCCAGCTGTCAGTCACGCAGCTGGGCGGATCCCGGCACAATTGTAGGGATCCGATTCAGGTGCGGCGTCTCAGTATACCGCGAGCTGTAGCTTGCGGTATACTGAGCCTAGGGTGACGGGAGGACGCTAGTTTGTGTCCTCCCGTTACCCTAAGGAGAACTATGGGGGAAAACCTTAACCCCATAGTTCTCCTTTAAGATCAAGGACATGTATTAATTGTAACACTGCCAGCTGCTCCAGAGAGAGTTCGCTGGGGGACCCCATCAGAATTTTGCTATGGGGCCTCATGACTTGTAGATACGTCCTGCTGTTTATGCATCACTGCGTCTATTGTTATTGCCAGTCCCTCTTTCTGAAACTTTATAGATAGAATAGTCTTTCCACATCTGTAACACATATAGCAGTTACCCAAAGTACTCACAGGAAGTGTAAAGGTGGCCATACACTCTACAACCATCGCAAGACTTTAGTCTTGCGATGGTTGTAAAGGGATTAAAAAAACGTACGATCTGCCTATCTTGGACAGGCAGATCGCACTCTCGATCATCGCAAGCCCGCCCCCCTGAGGGGCGGGCTTCCGATGACCGCAATGCTGAACGGGCAGTGTGCGCGTGCGCACACCGGCCCGTTCAGCATTTATCTTCCGAGCACCGTTCTAACCAGCCGAGAATCGTACGATTCCCGGCTGGTTTTCGAACATGCTGGTTCGACAGAAGACGTGCGACCGTACAGTAGAAACGGTCGCACGTCTCCGTTCACACTGCTCGATTATCGTACGAAAACCCGATCGCATACGATTATCGTACGATAATCGTGCAGTGTATGGGCACCTTTAGAGAAGCATTGCATAAGTATTGGGGAAGGAGTTTTAGTGTTTTCCCAGCTTTTTAAAGCATGTATTACTTATAAAATATAAGCACGTATAAACTACTTCCTGCATTCTTCCTTTGAAAAGAAGGGGTGAAGTACTTACAAATTTGCATATTATTAGGCTCACAAAGGCACCTGAAATGATTTCTGAAGGCTCTAGGTAAGCTTTTGAAACACTTTTTGAACATCTTGAAAATGCTACGAGCATGTAAAGGATAATTCCTTCTGGCTTTGTTTCCTATTAAAGAAGAACTCCGGGCAAACTTTTCTTAACCCCTGCGGTGGCTGCAAGTGTTAAAAGAGAACTATGGGGTAAGTGTTTTTCCCCATAGTTCTCTTTAGGATCACGGGAGGACATATACGCTGCAGCCGGGATGGATCCCAATAATACTGTCGAGAACCACCCAGCGGGCAGCGGGCTCTGCCTATCCAGAGGCAGAGCCAGAGCCAGCTGTGCCCGCCCCCTCCCCTGTTTGTTCCTCTACTCAGCACTGGAGAATCGAAGAGGGGAGGGGGAATCCCTGCGGGGAGCAGTGGCTGACAGCCACCGCTCACTGCAGGGAGACGATCGGGAAGTGAGCGGATCGGCTGTATGTTTCTGCTAACTTCCCAATCGATAGAGCCGACCTGTGACAGCTTCTTTGTCACAGGTCGGCTCTAACTCTGAGGATGAGTGGAAATCGCTCACCACATAGTTCTCCTTTAAGTGCTCTTTTTTTTAGGTGCCAAAATAAAAAAAAGTTATACTTACCTGATCCTTGACCTGGCTGGCTCTTAGACTGGTCCTTCCAGCCTCTCTCCCGCTCCACTCCGGCTGTCTGAGATCCTGTGAGTAATCATGTCCAATACACAGTGTATAGGATGTGAGGACGCCGAGGGACATACAATCGCATATATATCACATATACCAAAATGAGTGCTTAACCCTTGCAGTGCAGGGGTAGCCCCACTGCAAGGGTTAAGAAAAGTTTTTCCCTGAGTCCTTGTTTAAACCCATATTTAGGGTTTAAACCTACAGACCTGGGGCTGGGGGGGGGGAATAGTCTGCATTGTACCCATGATCTAATGATCTAATGATCACAGTTGAGATTCTTTGCAGGCTCCAATGCAAAAAATATATTCCTTTTTGCAAAAGGTGGAATATGACTTCAGAGGTTGAATATAACGTGCATGTGTACTGCAACCATTTTCTGAACTCAGGGGAGATACATAATTGCATGTTTTACATTCTCTCTCTTTAAGAGTGAAAAAAAAAACAAGAATTCCTGGAATGGCGGATAGGCATATTACACATGGGAGTGCGAGCGGTGGTGTAGCATACTGTACTATTGAGGAGCAGTTTAAAAGAAAAAAAAATCAAGTTAATGAACTATGTTTGATTTCTAAGTGTGTTACTTTTATCAACACTGCATTTGTTTTTTGGTAAATAAGAGCTTTACTGTAATTATAAGGGTACAACACTATGTTTTTTAGTCTAAGAGGGTGGAAGAGGCAGAACCGGGAGCTAATCAGGCCTGCAGCATGCAAATGGGCTGACAAAGAACATGATGATAAGAGAGCAGAGGGATGACCTCATCCGCCTACTGCTGCTTCTTCACCGTCCAGTTAGTAGGTTGGGGGTGGAGAGATGACACCACTGTATCCCTTTTACAGTCTAAGGCTGGCCATACACTCAGGCTAGGTTTACACCAGATGCAGTGCGTTCCGGCCCGATTCTGGGCAGAACGCACTGCATCGAATTGCGGCCGCTCACTTTTTGGTGGGGCAGGTAGGGTTGCCACCTTTTCTTCTAACGAAACCCGAACACTCTAGCAACGCACTGAAATTTTTTTGGGGAGAATGAGTGGTGGCTTATTCATATAAAATAGCGCCGTCCATTCATATGTAAATATCACAGTTTAGACTATTTTCAGTGGGGGGCCAGTTGCCCCTATCTTAATTTTGGTTGCCCCTGTCTGCATGACATCTTGTGTCCGGGTTTCAGCTGCCATGAAACCCGGACACAGCATTCAAAACCCGAACTGTCAGGGTGAATCCTGGACAGGTGGCAACCCTAGGGGCAGGAGGGGGTGTGGTAAGCCATTGAAATGCGATCGGCCACACGGGATCGCAAGGCACATTGTGTCTGCGGTCCGGTGCAATCAAAATGCTGCATTGCGGCTGGAGGGCGTGGCTACGGTGCCATTCATTTCAATGGCCCGCCACGCCCCCTCCTGCCCCACAAAAAAGTGAGCCGGCCGCAATTCGATGCAGTGCGTTCTGCCCAGAATCGGGCCGGAACGCACTGCATCTGGTGTGAACCTAGCCTTATAGTTTTTCTCGTTCATCCTTGCGGGCCGAACAGGAAAAAAATACTCTCCATTCAGTGTGGAAGGGGAACCCCCCAACCGGGCTATTGTGTACTCCAACTTGATTGGCTGTAGTCACTATATGACAATGAGTTTTTAGACTGGCTCCTTTGATAAAAGTCAACAAAGTTTCATTTTTCAAATGGCTGGAGGGGTCCCAACTGGGCCACACACTGGTCACATTTCAACCAAATGGGCCCCACAATGCTTGAATTTCAACTGACTGGGCCACATACTGGACCAATTTCTGCCAACTTGGCCACACACTGGTAAAATTTCAGCCGACTAGGCCACACAATGGTCACATTTTGGCTGACTGGGCAACACATTGTTCGAATTATGGCCAACTTAACAGTCTAGTGATGTAAGATGTCTGCCTTTGCAGAACTGTGTAAATCTAAGGACTGGATGGACAGAAATACAAATACAGTATTTTGCCCAGTAAACCAGCTACCATAGGTATATAGTGCATGCCTGGAGTTCAGCTTTAACTATGATATGCTGAAGAAGAGTAGCTACAGAACAGCCCAGTAGAACATTGTTAGTAAGGATGGGCTAACCTCTTAAAGTATACCCAACAAAAGAATGCAAAATGATTGCGTGGATACAATGTGTGTGCTTTGAGGTTCTGGGTTGTACCTTCAACCTTCTTCAAGTTTGCCTGGAGACCCC